GTCAGACAGCATCACCTCTGCAGAGGGGCACCGACGCTCTCAGATCGCTTCACCCGAAGCTCCCGTTCGACCTCAGATCAGCCATCCTGATGCCAACATCCAGCACTCCAGCCCACCCCAACGCCCACCCACGCAGTCCCAGAACACTGTCCACACTGCTGATTTCGAGGTGGGAGTGAAACTAAGAGAGGCGCGAAGTACATCACGCGGCGCTGCTGCAGCAGCGTCGCGACGAGGTTGACGATGCCGACACCGCTGTCAACTGCAAAGATTTACGCTCACGGCTCTGCTGCAGCAGCGTCGCGATGGCTCGAGACTGCTGAGGACAAGGCTGATGGGAGCTGGTGAGGCTGCCAGGAGGCCATGGGGGGAGCTACTCGGCGGCGCAACGAACTGTGCTGAAGGGGGGCAGGGAGAGTGGCGAAGGGCGATGCGATGCGAGACTGTTTGCCATCTGAAGTGCCCCAGGACCCCCCCAAGTGCCCCCAAACTTTCCTGGCCAATCCAAGGCCGACCCCTGGCACATCAGCCCATGCAAAAAATGTCAGCGGATCAGGATGTGAACGTCGACGATGGCAGATAGATGTGATGAGGATATCGGAGCGCCTTTCTGGGCGACAGCGCGGGCGCACCACGCGATCTGGCGCACGAAATATAACCTGGCCTAAAACACATGCATGCGTCGGCAGGCTATGCTCGCGAACTGATCCAATCCACCCCCCCATTGCTCCCATTGATCTTACATGTTGGGTTGCTACAGCATGTATCCTATCACTATGCGTCGTTGTCCCCCTCGCTCACGGGAGAGTGGATACCCGCTGCAGCGGGCATCCTGTCTACCGTCTCTCTCCAATGTGTCTTCACTCCACCCCCACGCTGCGTCTCCATCGTCCCCCTCGCATTCCCTATGTATATCACGTCTCCCCCCTGTCTACCTCTACTATAGTCCCCCCTCTCCCCCTGTCTACCTCTACTGAGTTACCGTCCCATTCCGTCGCCCATGTAGTGGAATGCTCCGCGGCGGCCCCCCATGCCCCGCGGTGGCGCGCCGCGGCTCTCATGTGGGCGCTGCAGCGCCGAGGGCGTCTCCGCCTCCGCGGCCTCCGCCTCCGCCGCCGAGCGCCTCCGCCTCCGCGGCCTCATCCGCGGCCTCCTCCCTCCTCATGAGGCGCCCCTCGGCGCCTGCGCCTCCTCGGCGGCCTCCTCGCCGACGCCGCCGCCCTGGCCGACCCAGACCTCTGCTGGGCCAGCGTAGTACTCCTCGGCCAGGGCGGCGGCGTCGGCGTACTCGCCCGCCAGCAGCAGCTCGCAGAGCTGCTGCGCCCTGTTGAACCAGCCGCCCCGCCGCCCTTGCCCTTGCCCTTGCCCTTGGACAAGTTTGCCGCCCTTGCTCTTGTCCTTGCCCTTGCCCTTGCAAGGTGGGCCGCCGCCGTCCTTGTCCTTGTCCTTGCCCTTGCCCTTGCAAGGTGGGCCGCCGACGTCCTTGTCCTTGTCCTTGCCCTTGCCCTTTCTGCAAGGTGGGCCGCCGACGTCCTTGTCCTTGTCCTTGCCCTTGCCCAAGGCGCAAGGTGGGCCGCCGACGTTGTCCTTGTCCTTGTCCTTGCCCTTGCCCAAGGCGCGGCCGACGCTGCCATGCGGGGCGGCGCGCGACGGCCGCGGCCGCGCCTTGGCCGCGGCCGCGGCCGCGAGCAGCGCGCCTGGCGGCGGCGCCGCAGGCGGCGTCGGCCGCATGCGGCCGACGCCGCCGTCGTCGCTGTCGAACTCCTCGAAGTCCTCGTCGTAGCTGTCGAACTCCTCGAGCGACGCCATCGCTGCAGCGAGGCTGCAGCTCGCCAAGCTGCATGATGGGCTTGGTTTCCACCACCAGTACCATAAGTTGGAGGGAGAGGTCCTCCTCCTCCTCTTCTTTCTCCTCCTCCTCCTTCTCCAACATATGGTATAGTGGTGGTGGAAACCAGTCCCATCACTGCAGCTGAAGCTGCACTCGGGCGCGCGGGCGCGCGACGCTGCAGCGCGCGAAGCTGCAGCTGCAGCTGCGCGGAACAAAAACAGCGGCGGTGCCAACGACGAATACGATGGCGACGACGCTGACGACGATGGACCCCTGCTAACCAATCGACTGACCCCCCAAAGTAACATCACCCCGCAAAGTAACATCACCCCCAACTGAACCTCCGAAGGCCAACGACTGGATTGACCTCCCCAGGGCTGCCCCCTCAGGATAGGAGGAGGAGGGGGAGGAGGATGAGGGGGAGGAGGAGGATTGGAGGGAGAGGAGGAGGGGGGGGAGGAGGGGGGGCAGGAGAAGGAGGAGGAGGAGGAGGAGGAGGACACTGATGAGGAGGAGAAGAAGGAGAGGGAGGAGGAGGAGAAGGAGGAGGAGAAGGAGGAGTAGGAGAATGAGAGGGAGGATGAGGAGGAGGAGGAGGAGGAGGAGGAGGAGGAGGAGGGAGTATGCGGAGGCAGGAATAGGCAGAAGGATCGGGGGGGCGGGGCATGGGTGCCAACTGGTTGTCTTCCTCCTCCTCCTCCTCGTCATACTCCTCGTCCTCGGCCTCCTTCTCCTCCTCCTCCTCATCATCATCATCATCCTGCTCCCCCTTCCCCTGCTCCGAGGTGCTGGCAGCGAGCGGTGGGAACCTGTGAAAATGAGGGCGTTCCAGAACGTCGTCCTCAATGTCGTCGTCCTCCTGATCACCCTCCTCCTCCTCATCATCATCCTCCCTCCACCTTCTTCTCCTGCATGCACTGCTCTGAATTACGTCGTCTTTAACGCCGTCGTCGTTGTCTCTGTCGCCGTCGCCGCCGTCGCGATGCTGTATCCGACTGAAACAGTGGTGCTGCAGCACTGACCGCGCGCGCGCCGCGCGCCCGTCACTTCCGCGGCTTCTTCGCGACGTGGTATTGGACTGCCAGCGCAAACGCTGCCTCGCGGTCCCCGCGCTGAAGCGCTTCCCGAATCATGTCGCACACAAGCTTCCACATGCCAACCTTGGTATCAGCATCGCGCTTGCGCGCGGCTGCAGCCGCGCGCGGGGCTGGCACATCACTGGCGGCTGCAGCCGCGGTCCTCGTCGACGTCGGAGGCGGCGGTGGCGGCGGCGGCGGCGGAGGAGGGGGAGTAGCCGCATATGTCGCATCCGATGCAGCGGACTTCGCCTTCGGCGGCGGCACTGGCTCCGAGGGAAGCCGCCATGGCGGCGTCGCTGCACTCATGTTGGCAGCCATTGATGTTCTGATCACAGGTGGCTGCGAACCACATGCAATAACATAAAGCGAACATGCGGGCTGCAAGCGCGATCGAAGCGCTACATCAACACGCCAGACACACAAAATGTAAGTCAGCGCTGCAGCGCGACGCAAAAATCTGATATCGGCACGCCAGACACCCGAACGTAAATCAGCGCTGCAGCACGATGGACTCCAAACACACGAAACGTAAGTCAGCGCTGCAGCGCCGTGAGGTCACACATCGACGGCGGCAACGCGTGAGAGGCACACTTGATCGTAGTGTCGTCGTGCTGCAGCACGCTTGATCATACCAACGATTCGCAATGACACCAACAGTAGCGAACATTGGGGGGATCCACCAACAATCCGCAATTATTATCCCAATCCTCCTCTTCCTTCTCCTCCTCGCCCTCGTCCTCGTGCTCGTCCTCCTCGCTGCCATTCTCAATCGCACTGCCGACCGTGATCGCACGCCCCAGCGATGCGGTCGACCGAGCGCGCCGCAGCTCAGTCCGAGTCGGCCTCCTCCTCCTCCGCATCGCCCTCCGCCTCCGCTTCCATCTCCTGGAGCTCATCCGCTTCGCAATCCTTGAGTTCGGCGGTGCACCACTTCGCCGCGGCCGCTTCAGCGTCATCCTTGCTGCAGCCGCGGTTTGTGCGGAACAAGGCCGTCCTGCTGCAACCGCAGTCTGTGCGGACGGCCCGCCAAGCTTGGAGCCGCTGCACCCAATAGATGCGGGTGCCGCAAGGAACGTCGGTCTCGTGGCGCCGCGGGCGCTTCAGCACCGTGCTCGCCTCTGCCGCCTCCGCCGCCTCCTGAAGCAATTTGGCCTTGATGTACTCTACGCCCTTCTCGTGCAGCACCACCTGCAGCTTGTCCCTCCCCCCCCTATGAGGTGGGGGAATGACAATCTGCAGCTCTGTTGCCTCAGTATCGCCAAACGGCGGCAGCTGCACTGTCTTGAAGCACTTGTCCACTGGAACCTGGCGACTGGCGCGGCCGGACCGCGTGGTCGGGCGGCGGCCTGGCTCCGCTGCAGCGAAGAGCGTCGTCGGCGCCGTTGGCCCCGACGACGCGGTGCGCTGATTTTTCAGCCACGTTAGGAACATCGTGCCTCGCAAGCCCTGAGCCTTGCCGCACACCCACTTGCTCCAACCTGCGGTGGTCACGGTGATACACTCGCGGTCTCCGATGACCTCGACGGCCGCGACCAGCTCGCGCCCCGTACGGTTGTCGTGCAACACGACGCAGTCGCGCTTGATCGTCGTCATCGCGCGCGCGGCGCGCCGAGGCTGCAGCCCGAGCGCGGTCGCACTTCAGCGCCAAAATTGCTGCGATGGAGTGATGAGGCAACATGTGCGCGGACGAGGTGCTCATGATGAGGTGCGCTGCAGCGCATGTGAAAGATGAAGCGAAGAGCAACGATCACATCGAGCACAACAGTGATGACGAAGCCGCTGCAGCGGCATGTCTGTGGGAAAGGCTGATGTCAGCACCAATATTGTACAGTCGCTGCAGCGACGATGCTGGCGCAACGAATCGTTCCGCGCGCTGCAGCGCCGCGGCAAGTATCGCACTTCGCACCAACCCGCACACTGTTTACACCAATCGGAGGGCCACGCTCGGTGCCGTCATGTGCGCTCGCCGCTCCTTAAGCCCCCTCATCCTCCTCCCTATGCCAAACCTTACCCTGCCTCCTCCTCCTCCTCCTCCGCATCACCCCTCCCTCCTGCCTCATCCTCCCGCGTGGTCCCTCTATATCGCCAGCTCAGGCCGTCCTGAGCTTCTTGGCTGGCCGCGGCTGCAGCCGCGGCCACGGCTTCACCACCAGGAAGTCGCCCGCGGACAGGGCGCAAGTGTTATGCATCTGGGGCACCCCCACCTGCACCTTGTTGACGCCTGTCCCGAACGTCACGGTCTCCTTTCGGAGCTCCATGTTGGGCTCTGAGTCGGACTTTGCCACCACCCAGAAGGGGCTGACAAAGGCGTCGGGGCCCCGCGACCCCTCAGCGGGGGGCCCTGCGAACTGCGGGCCCACGAAGAACTCGTAGAGGCCAACCTTCCCCAACGAGATGCTCTCCGCAACGCAGCCCGTGCTGACCCGCGTGGACGAGGCTGAAATGCGACCACTCCCACCGCGTGGAGCTACATGGCGCGCAGTCGGTAACATCACTGACCTCGTCGCTACGGCCTGACGTGCCCCGAAATCCTCGCTACCTCGTGCTCAGCGCAGCGCTGCAGCGCGGCGTCGTCGGAGGGGGGCGCGGACGATTGCGGAAGCACAAGTCTGACGAGCTCACCCACTTTGAACGCTCGCTTGCAGCGCACGGCAGGTGGGTCCTGCAGGATCTCCAAGTGCAAAATGTTCGCCTGGTACTTCAGCGCTTGGAGCCGCAGCGCCATGTTGCATGCCCCCTTGAACGCGTCCATCGCCCAACCCTCGTGGGCTGGCGGCAAGTGCTCCTTCGTGAACGGCAACTGCTCCTGCACCCTGGACGTCAACTTGTAATTCTCGAGCAATATGTTTACTTCAATCCGCCCGCTCGGCTAACTGCTCCGTGCGCTGCAGCGCATCGACCAACCCATTGCAACTTAAGTACAGGAAATACAATATCGCAGTTACTACCTCCTCCTCCCCCCTCCCTGCTCCCTGCACGGGCGGCGGGGTGGCTGCAGCCACGCAATGGAGATCTCTTCGCCCACCAGGTCGCCGTGCAACTTCTTCTGAGCGGTGATCCCATTCTCCGAGATGGAGAGCACCTCGAAGACGTCATCCACCTCCTTCTTCTGGACGATGTGCTTCCCCACGTCGAACCCTGCACGCCGCATGCGGAAGACGTTGCTCTTCAACTCAGCGGCCGACGACGCTGCCGCGCGCGGCGCGTCTGCATCGGCGCTCGCTGGGAACTCGGGTGCGCCATCGCCTTGCTTGTCGGTCTGCACCGCCTTGCCGAACTCGATCCCCAAGCTCTTCATCTGCAGCTGGGCTGGCTCCCCGAGCTCATGGAGGAAGACCTCTCTGGAGGGTCGCTGCAGCGACATTGAATGGCGAAAAGCAGGGAGGGAGGGAAACAAGGAGCACACGAAAGGTGGCGTGAGAAGATACCTGTGCTATATCTGCTACGCATCCGAAAGTGCGGTCTCCTGGCGCTCGCTTCTTCACCAGGTACATGGCACAGCGGACATCCAACTTTGTGATGTGCAAGAAGCCCTGCTCCGCTCCGATATCCAACCTCTTCACGAGCGACCTTGCGTCGGCCATGAGGTTGTCGGCCGCAGCCACGTCCGCCTTGCGGGACGCGACGTGGACGATCTCGTTTGCCTTGATCCGCCCATCGCTTCAGCGATTGCGTTTGGGAATAAAGCAATGTAACGGTGCGTGTGTGTGTGTGGGGAGGGGGGAGGGGTGGGTACGCAGTTCTAACAATGCAGCGCAATGCATAGATGCGCTGCAGCGCATGTCACTACAAGGGGGCGCCGACAAGCTTATGGATGGTCCTGCACATGCTATCCACCACGTGCTCGCCTGAATAGTTGGCCTTCACGAGCGCCGCTACGACATACGGGTACGACTCCTGGTGCTTCCCCCATTTAATCGAATTCAACTTGCGCCAAAATTCAGAGCCGCACATCAAAGTTTGCCCCGAGACGTCCACATTCGTGAAGGTCTTGAGGGCTTCATCTATTTCACGGAGAAGTTCTCCGTTTTGTGGCCCGAGCTCAACAAACTTGCACAAGTCAGCGATCCACGCCTTGCAAGGTGGGTTCGCGTGGCCCGCTTGCTCGGCGATGTCGCGCCAATCGGGCTTGCTGGAACCCTCAGCGAGGCTGTGTGCCAAGAGCATCCGCCCACCTGCCTGCAGCAAGCGCCGAGCCGATCAAGTGCTGCAGCACTGTAAGATATAATGCTCCTGCTCCTCGTTCTCACCTCCTCCCCAACGCGCTCCCACTCATCACCCTCCTCGTGCATCATCCTGGTCCTTACTACATACCGTTATATACTATAGTGGGGATAGGCTGCAGCCTGACCGAATGATCTCGGTCTCGTGAACCGCCTCCCTGACGTCGGCGTCCAAAGCCCTCTGCACGAAGTTCTTGGGGCCCTTCACTTTGGCCACCGCGTGCTTGATGATCAACCACGTCAGGCCCTTTTTGACTGCCGTCGCAAGTTGCGGATGCAACGCGCACAGCTTTTCGGAGTCGATGTTGTCCCGAGAGTCTGCCAGCGCCTTCACTGTGGTCGGCGCCTTGGCCAGCACGCAGCGGAGGAAGACGTTCGTGTGGGAGCCGCCCACTGACGTATACCGCAATGAGTCCAGCGGGGGGCACCGACCCCCGCTGAGCCGCGAAAGGCGGTCGTTCGCCATCGCGGTCTCTTCCAACTGCGCCCCCTGCGGGGCCTCGAAGGCAGTGGCTGCAGCCGTCTTGGCCAAGACGAAGCCCTGGGCGCAAATCTTCGCGCCTAAATTGTGAGCCCGCGCAGGGTTCACTAACGAACCGCTGCGGTTCCGAATGTCGATGCCCATCTGGTTCGGTGGGACCTGCTGGTAATACGCTAGCCCCTCCGCCAGCAGGAACTCCTTCAGTTGATCCCACCCCGATGCCAACCTCCCCGAGGAATTGCTTTCCTCGATGTACTGCAAGATCTGCTCCTCCTGACGCGCCTGCAGCGCCATGCCAGCGCTATATATAGCGCCGAATGCAACGCGCGAGCCCGCGGGCGCGACGGCGGATGCGGCGCGCGGCCGCAGCTTGAGACAAGCTGTCGCGCGGCGTGCGCGTGAACATCGACTTGCATGGACATGCAACTTGCGAGCAAAAATGTTGATCTGGGCTGCAGCCCGAGGCCCATGAAGCACGAGCGCGCACGCGCTGCAGCGCGATGCGACATCACGACGACAACCATTTTTTTGCGCTGCAGCGCAAAGTAACATACGTGCTATCAAATTTGGAGCGCTGCAGCGCTCAATGCGACCATTGAAAAACAACGAATACAACAAAACATAATTGACATGTGCATTCAAATTCCTTGCAAACGGAGCTGGGCGAAAATGAAGATCCGAACAACGCGCAACTAGAAAACATGCATTTAACTCAACATTCAGCGCTGCAGCGCTTCATCTTCATGTTCATATAAATCCATGTTCATGTTCATATAAATGTTCATATAAATCCGAAGGCAGCGCTTCATGTTCATATAAATCCGAAGGCAGCGCTGCAGCGCTTCTCATATTTAAAGCAAAAATCCAGGACACCGACTCCAAATCAAAATGCAAAATTTGTAGCGCTGCAGCGCTCAACGAACAAACTCAGCTCTTTCAAGACGTGGATTTACCTTTTTTCCCTGTGCATGGCCCTTGGATAACAAGTGCAATGTAACCGCTAAGTCACTTATAACCTACTTAGCAAACTAGCTATAAGCGGTTATAAGTGGTTAGCTAAGTGCGCTAAGCACTTAGCTAACTGGTTATAAGTGGATAGCTAAGTACTTACTAAGTCATTACTAAGTGGGCCACTTAGTAATGACTGAGTAAGTACTTAGCTAAGTCCGCTAACTACTTACTAAGTACTTAACTTAGCGTAGTAAGTATGTTAAGTACTTAGCAACCGCCGCGGCCATCCAAGCAGGGGAAGGCCCGGTTGGTTTGGGAAGGCCCGGTCGGTTCGGGATGGCCCAGTGGTTTGGGGGGACGATGGTCTGGGAAGACCCAGTTGTTCCGGGAAGACCCGGGGTTTCTGGCGTGGGAAGACCCGGTCGGTTCGGGAAGATACAGGGGCTTGGTTTGGGAAGGCCCGCTCGGTTCGGGAAAACGCGGCCGGTTCGCCGAAGCCCAGGGCCTCGGTCAGCCAAGAAACATTTGGTTCGGGTGCAACCGTCCGAACGAAGGCGAGAACGGGGCGGGGGCGAAAACGGAAACGAGGACCAAACGAAGGCGAAACGAAAGCGAGATCAAGGCAAAAACGCGAGCGGAAATCAAAGCGAAACGAAAGTGAAACGAATCAAAGGGAAAGAGGCGGGCACGACCGCGAAACGAAGGCAAAACGGAGGCGAGAGCGATGGCGAGACCATGAGCGGAGACGACGCGAAACGAATGCGAAATGAGGGCGAGGCGAAAGCGGGACACGAGGACGGACACAAAGACGCAGACGAGACGACGGCGAGAACGATGGCGAAACCGAGGGCGAGACGAAACGAAGACGATGCGAAGACGAAAACGAAAGCGAATGCGGGATCGGAAACGAAGGCGAAACAACGCGGACACGAAGGCGAACACGAAGGCAATAGTGAGACCGGAAGAACAGCGAAACGAAGGCGATAATGAAGGCGAGAACAAGAGCGGACACGAGGGCGAAACGAAACGAAGGCGACGGCGAAAACGAAAAACGAGAGCGGAGACGAAGGCGAGAACGAGGGCGGAAACGAAAGCGAAACACCAACGAAACGAAGCGAGAACGAAGCGAATTTCTCGTCGTGGCGGTCCTCCTGACAGCGTTCGTCCTGGTGTGCCTCCTCCTCCTCCTCCTCCCCTACCCCCCCCCCAGCCGCGTGCCTGGTGGAAGACGTCGCCCCCCCCCCCCCCGCGCGCCCCCTCGCCGAGCCGCGCCCAGATGAAACCTGCGGGGGCGAACCAAATGCCATGAATCTCGCAATTGCCCCCCGGATCAGCGCGCCCAACCGCGGCCTCGAGAAGCCGTCTGCGCCCGCCGGCCCCCGTCGTCGCGCCCCCTTTACGCGCGGGCTGGCCTGCCTCGCGCTCCGCTCAGAGGAGCGCAAAAGACATAAAAAATGTGAACGAGACAGAGAGAGAAATGATAAAGAAGTGCACTAGAAGGATGATAGCGCAGAGCACGGATATTGAATCTAGCGAGTGACATTAACGGATGGCAGCAGGCGAAGCTGTTTTCTTCTGTCCTGTGGCTGGTTGGCCAGCCGTGTAAACGCACGCACGCGCAGGCGCGGCCTGCTTTGTGCCGCTGAGACCACCACCGAACGCCGATGCAACCCAGGCTGCGTCAGCGACGACAGCCTCGCAGCAGCCTGCGCGCGCGTTTCCGAGCAGGGCGCCGGGCCCCCGAGCAACACACGCTGATAATGCTGGGTGGGCGGGTCGACCTGCGCGGGCGCGCGTCGGGCCAGATTGTCACCCGACCGGTCGATGTTGCGCTGGGCCAGGTCCGCCACCTGGACGTCCAAGTGTATATCCGCGCTACCCTGACGCGCGCCGCTCGCGGCGCCCGCGCCCGCCCCCTCCGCGCGCCCTGGCGGCCCGTCACTGGCGAGCGGCGCGCGGGCGGCTCTGGTCAGCGCAGCAGACGCAGCCCCGCCGCCGAGCTCGGCGAGCCGGTCGCTGGCGCCGTCGGCGACAGCGCCCACAGCCCAACCGCCGAAATATATGGTGCGAGCGTAGCGCACTGAAGCAGGCGGCACTGACGATGCTGACACTCCTCGGCCGCCAGCGCTACCGAAGCCGCCTGGTCCGCGCCTGGGTGACTCGCGCGAACGTCTGGGACCGCGAGCCCGCTCGTCGACTGCCTGCTGCAACCTTGGAATGGCTCCCGAACCCGTTTGCAGAACCACTCCCGGCGCGCGCGGCCCGCAGATTTTCCCGCAGCCGCGCGGAGGCCGACCGCGCAATGGGCAGGACCGCAGCCTATCATTCATCGCCGCGCGGGCGCCCCCGTCGCAAGCGCGAAACGCAGTGGGGGGGGGGCCAAAACAGCGGCGGGAAATCTGTCACAACAGCACCTTGGGCGTGAGCGGCGTTCGCCCATAGTCTGCCGCGCTGCTGCGTGCTCCTGCGTGGTCTGCCGTGCCCCTGCGTGGTCAACCGTGCGCCTGCGTGGTCTGCCGTGCTCCCGCATGCTCTGCCGTGCTGCTGCGTGGTCCGCCGTGCTCCTCAGTGACTGCCGTGCTGCTGTGTGTTCTGCGCTGCTCCTGCGTGGTCTGTCGTGCGCCTGTCTGGTCCGCAGTGTTCCCGCGTGGTCCGCCATTCTGTCGCGCGGTCTGCCGCGTTCCTGCGAGTTCCGCCGCGCCCCTGCCCCCCCAAACCGGTAGTGAGGGCGGAAACGAGAGCGAGAATGAAGGCGCGAAGGATTCCGGAACGAGGGCGGAAATGAGAACGAGAACGCGGGCGGATCGGGTCGAACGGGCGGGCCCTAACTTGCGGGTCGGGCCGGGCGGGCGTGACGCGCAAGTATCATGCGCCATCGAGTTGGCGCGATCATAGCCTAGCGGGCGGGTCGCTCGGGAGGGCCAGTTGAGTCTGGCGGGCGGGCCCCGGCGGGCAGATCAGATCGGGCAGGCGGGCCCTGGCGGGCGGGTCGGGCCGGGCTGGCGGGGCGTTGAAGTATCGTGCATCATCGAGTTGGCACGCGCGCGCCCTTGCGGGCGGGTCGGTCGGGCGGGCGGGTCGGGCCGGGCGGGCGGGCCCTGGCGGGCGGATTGGATCGAGCGGGCGGACCATTAACCTGTGATGCGTCATCGAGTTGGCACGCGCGCGCCCGGCTTCCGGGAGACCCTAACAAGCCCTGGGGCCGTGAAAAAAGATGCGACGGAAAGCCAGCCTTAGGGCAGGGGTCCAGACCCCCGGGTGCCCAATTCGCCAAACAGGCAACGCTGGATGCTGGTCGGAACGAAAAGCAAGGATGCAAGGGTACCCTTGGGAAGGCGGCCCATCCCTACTATGCGGGCTGACTGTGCAATTCCTCGCTCTGAAGAGGGGCTGCGTCCCCCCGGCGCCGCCTGGGCTGAGTGGCGGGTGCGGCGCGCAGGAAACGTTGCAACGATTGGCGCGAAGATCGGCTGACCCCTGAGCGGGACGGCGATGTCGTGGCTGAGTCTGCGGGGAGACACGGGGCGGGAATTGAGGACGCGCCGCGGGGCGGACACGGGGGCCTGCCCAGCCCGAGGCCTGTTGGAGGTCCGCCCCTTCTTCCAAGCGGCTTCTCCTCTTCTCAAGCGGGGCAGGCGCAGGGGTGGAAGAGCGCTCGGCTGCAACGCCGTCGAGAGGTCTGCTGGCTGACTTCCTCTTCCCTAGAATGCGAGGGCGCCCATCGAAGCAGGGATAGAAACGCTAGGGGAATGCCGAGCTGACCTGTCGATGGTGCGGACTACTGCACCAGCCGGCCGCGGGGGGTGGGCTTCTCTGCGCGAGCAGGCTTCGATGCGCGAGCACGGGCGTCCCGAACTGCGCCAGCATCCGGAAAAACTTGAGCAGAGTCCTTGGCTCTATTGGCGTAGTGCCTGTGCCTGCTCTTTCTCTCTCTCTCTCTCTTTTTCTCTCTATCTCTCTCTCTCTCTCTCTCTTTTGTTGTTATCTTTCTCTTTTTTTTTCTCTCTCTCTCTCTCTCTCTCTATCTATATATATGTATCATCCGAGCCCCGCCTGCCCCTGGAGGAGGAGGGGAAGGATGATGAAGATCGCGTCGTGCTCCGTCCTTCGGCGGCCGCCCTCGCCACAAGCTCGACTTGGCGCATTCGCCTGAGGTCGGCGCGGCGAACCGACCGATCGAGCAGCAGCCGCGGCCGCCAAGTGACGCAACCAATTATCGAGGCAGCAGGACGAGAGACTTGCACAGGATACCGTGATCGGCGGAGACGCCCGCGCCAGAGAAAGCCATGATACAGACACGCAGCAGATACGCCCGGACGACATGAGATTGCAATTGCTGCTGGCAGGACAGCAGCACGGCTTCAGCAACACGTGCCAAGCGCACCCCGCCTGGAAAGAAAAGGGGCTAGTCCGACACAGGGAACATGGGAGCATTAGGATGCTCTTGTGTCGGGCTCGCGGTGTTTTCGACAGGCTGAAAACCCAGCCGTGCTCGAGGCTGCTTGTGCACCCGTGGCGGCATCCCTGCATTCGCGTGAGATTTCGGGGTGATTACATCCTGCATGCCGACGGCGGCCGTGGATGAGTTTTTGTTGCATACCGCCACGTTTGCTGCTGTGTGCTGGACGCATGCAGCTCGGACATTGCAGATCCTGTCTCTGCTGTGAGTCCCAGTGCCGGCGGTTGTTTATGTGCTGCGCTATGCACCAACTTAGTGGCTTGTCTGGCCTGCTGTGCTGATTGCACGCAGGCTAGTCCGCCTGACCAGACTCGCCACCTGGTCAGGTGTATCATGGCTGCTGCCCGTGTATCTTGGAGATTCCTCCTCCTCCTCCTCCTCCTCCTCCTCCTCCTCGTACCTCTTCTCCTCTTCCTCCTCCTCCTCCTTCTCCTCCGCCCCCCTCTGTTCCCTCCCTTTCCTTTGTCCGCGGCAGGGCGAGCACTTTTCGGAGTTCACAGTGAGCCTTGGGGCCATGCCCGTGCAGGAGCTCGAAAAGGACTGCCCGCTCCCACGTTCGCCCCCCCCCCCCCCCCCGCTCTCCCCCTCCCTCCCCCTCCCCCCTGGTACTCGTACTCGTCGTCGTCGTCGTCGTCGTCCTCCTCCTCCTCCTCCTCCTCCTCCTCCTGACTGACTGACTCAAGGCGGTCTATCCTGAGGATGAAGCCTGCACACCTTTCCAGCCCCGAGTCCGCGTGACTTGGGGGGGCTCACTCGGGAAAAACATACACATCGCTGCCTGCTGCGTCTGGACCCCCCCGCCGTCGTCATCGTCACCCTCGTCGTCAAGATCCCCCCCCCCTGCCCCATGGCGCGGCGCCAGAAAGCGCGGGCTCGGCGCTGAGGCGGCTGGCCTGATGAATTGGTTGCCTCAGGTCGGGTTGAATCCTCCTGGGCGTGTCACCGGGGTCCGACCTAGGGCGGTTGGGAAATCCGGCGGTTGGGAAAACGTGCGAGGGAGGTGACGGCGTGTTCTGAGCCTACGGCTCTGCCGTCTGGAGAGGCACGCGGGGGCAGAGGGCGACAATTCGGGTTCCCAGGGCCTCTCGCTGCAGTTGGCTTGCTCTTGAATTTCTTTTCGGTTGCTAGGGGCTTCTGATGGCCCCGTCACCCTCTTCATGCCAAAGGACCGCAGCGCAGGCGAGGGGAGGTCAGGTCGATGGCGAGGCAAGGGGGGTAGCTGCTGTCGGGAAGGCGGTGCGTGGTTGGCGTCGGCGCGGGCTGACAATTGGCACGCGCCTGGGGCGATGGCGTGACATGCTCCCAATCCCAATCCAGCCTCACCCACTCCCGCATATCCCAACTCCCACCCAATCCAATTTACGACCAACCCTCATGTCTTCGCTGGGCGCCTTGGCTAAAGTGTGAGGCGCAAGCTGGGGCTTCTCAGGTGCTCAGAGTGGTGTCCTCGTCGGGATCCCTGGAAGCTGCGTCGAGGATTTCGCCGACGTGGTCTTCAAATGTCTCCCACGGTCTGCGGATGGAGGTGGGCACGGATCGGTCGTCCCAGCTGGTGTCGCCGACCACCATCTGAGCGTCCTCGAGGCTCTTGGGCATCCATCGCATCTTCTCTTGGTTGTGGAGGGCATTCCAAGCAGAGGTGACCTGTCCAGGGAGGAGCCCTTGTTGTCCCCGCGCCCTCGCGAACTGCAGGTAGGATGCAATCTCGAAGTTGGCACAGTTGACGTAATCCTGCTGCTCCGCCGAGGTGAGCTCATCGAAGACTGCTCGAGCGCCTCTGCATTGAACGTCTGCGGCGATACTGTCGACGTCGCGCTCGTGGTGCAGCCCGCTCGGGTATGCAGGGTCGTTGTAGTTGTTGGCGCTGAAGCCGTCGGCGGCAGGGTCCTCGTAGTTGTCCCCCTGGTCGTCGCTGGCAGCGGTGGTGGTGGTCTCCATGGCCGCGTCGATTGCCACGGTGACGACGACGCCGCGGACGCTGCATGCGTCCCAGCAGAGGCAGTGGAGGACGGGCCGTCGCTCCTGCCAGCTGCCGGCTCCCCTTTTCCTCCGTCTGGAGGGGCGGTGAGCTGGACCCCCGCTCTCCTGTACCTCCAACCTATGGTCGTTCTCTGTGTGGCTGGCGGTGTTTATCAAATCGTTATGAGCAAGATTGGCCGGTCTGGCATTGCTCGCTGAAGAGAAGTGGTATTGCTTCTTGCCGCGATTGCACTCTGCGCAGAAGGGCACGTCATCTGGCTTGTTCTGGTCAGCTGGCTCCAGCGGGATGGCGAAATTGCCCTCCTCGATCAGCAAGGCAGCGCTGGGGTCAGCAAAGTATGGGTGATCGTGGTATTCTTCCTCGTTCGGCAGGGCCACGGTGGAGCTACACGCAAGGCTCCGATACTTTCCCTTCTGGTGTTCGTTGATAATGTTGGTGGACGGGATACTGGGCGGACAACCTTTCGGCACAAACATCTTCGCGTACGGGTTGAGGGTGGCATGGGCAAGGGTAGCGTGGTTTTGCCAACCTCCACAACGATGTACCTGGTCTCGATGATCGGGCGATCGGTCTCTGGCATGATGTGCCTCCGGATTGCTGCCTCGGCAGTCTCAGTTCTTCTGGCTCTGGCAGCCCTCTGGGCAGCCGTGGGTCCCAGCGATTGGATCTCCAGGGTCCGCATCATGCTGCTCGATTTTGATGACTTGCTGTGTTTGATGGGAGAGATGGGAACGATGCGTACGCATCGGGCCGCTTTGCACTCGGGCAGCCCCCCGTGGCCTTGGCCTACGTGTTCATGATTTCACCTGCAGCGGAGAAAGGCGCGGGCGGGGCCGGAGGGACCGCGGGCGCCATGGCGTCGGCGCCGCGCCTGGGCGTCGCCGCGAGCTGAGGGGGATGGCGCGCACCCAATCGTTCGGGCGGAGACGCCTCTCCTCCTCCTCCTCCTCCTCCTCCTCCTCCTCCTCCTCCTCCTCCTCCTCCTCCTCTTCCTTCCCCTCCGTAGACGTTTTGGCTCAAGTCTCCATGTCGCCCAGCGGCAGCGTGGAGACCGCTTGTCCGCCGCCATACAATCTTGCGCGATCAACTATTTTGTCCTCGGCGCGCGCGCGTCGGGTCCTTGGATGCCCGCTGATGCACTGGTTCTCAAAACTGATGCGAGGAAGAAAGCGAGGAATGAACTCAAGGCGGCCCGTCCCAAGAGCTGATTGTGAGTCCGGTGATGACGATATTCCTGACGCTGCAGCCGTTCCAGCCAATGCCCGCGCTGCTGAACGCGATCTTGGTGCTGTCGCCCTTCCTGCTTCTGGCGGCCCCGCTGGTGAAGCTATGGGTGAGTGGGAAGAGGTGGATGAAGAGCATGATGAATATGTTCGGCTCGTCGCCAAGGAGTTCACCAATCTGCTCAAATAATATAAGGAGTCCATGCTGGAGACCATCTCTGCCTCGGTCGCTGCCGCTGTCCGCCCCTTCGCGGAGCAGTTCGAGACCCGCGGCAAGAGTGCTGCCGTTCTGGCGGCGGGTGTCCGCGACATTCCCATTTGTTTTTTCTTTTTTTCCGCGGGGGGTCAACCTTCGCGGCGACCCGTTAAGCCCGGGACCCTTGGCGGCGCATGGATTTATTTCCTTCTTCCGCGCGCGAGTTGCCATTGGAAGCCTTGAGCCCCTCCGACTACCGTACAATTAATACTTGAGCACGACTGGTACTATCGTATACTAACGTGCAGTTGTTCCTAGAGAGCACAGTGTCTTGCTGTGCAAGTGTTATTGTGGAATTGGTATCAGATTACAACTGGTAAAACTGTGCGCCCTAGTACAACTCCCTGGTACAATGCCCTAATACTGGTACAACTCCCTGATACATCTCCCTAGTGCAACTCCCTGGTACAATTCTCTAGCACAAATCGTACCAGTGCATCTCTTCGATGCAATTCCCGAGTGCTAGTACAACTCGCTAGGACAAGTCCTTAGTGCAAATCCCAGGTACAACTGCCTAGTCGTAACACAAGTTATAATACAACTCCGTAGTGCAACCTAGCGATATAATGTACTCGTACAGCTCCCAATTGAAACCTCCTAAACAATTAATTCTCAAGTCCAAGCAGTATTCGTACAACTCCCTAGCACAAGTCCCTCGCACAATTCCTTAGTATTAGTGCATCTCCGGAACACAAATCCTTCATTACCAGCACAACTGTCTATTGCAACCACTATACTCGAATGTTGCTGCATTGCACTTACAGTCTGGGCTCTCGCGCTTTTTGTCTCCTGGTTGCGCCGGGGTGGGTGGGGCCCCTCGCGCGGGCGCCCCCGCGGCTGAGAATTCATTCTTCTTCCAGAATTTGAGGCGGGGGTAACCCCCGTGTTCGAACCCTTCGCCAGGGATTTTTGCCCTCCGCGGAAACCGGACCCCCTGGGTTCCTGGGGGCGCCCCAGAAGTTTTCTCTTTCCGGATAGGTCCCCACGGGTCCTTTATTGGAGTCGCTGCTTCGCTGCACGTCGCCCCCGACGCGAACGCGCGACATATTCGCATGGATGCGCAGGAAGTGAGCGACCGCTAGGCTCGTGTCTGCCCCCTCGCACAGCGGGCGGAGAAGCCGGCTGGTCGCCGAAAGATCCCGCGCCGTACCTTCGAGTCGAAGGCCCCTCAAGAGTTGCTGCGCAAGGTCGCGGACAGGCTGAATTTTCAGGGCCGCTTGCCCCCGCGCCAAGTTGAGCCATTCATTTGGGCCTTTCGTAGTCGCACGCGAAGTCCGCGATCGTCTTCTTCCAGGTGCGACGGGGGATCTGGGATCCCAGCTGGCGGTCCCTCGTCAGATATCGCGCGCGTTCTGGTGTAATGACGTCGCACTTGCGGTTCGCCTGCGTGGGGCCCATCCTGCGGCGACTGAATTTCAATCGATCTCGACTGGCGCGGCCACGCTTGTTGACGCGCCGCCCTTCCAGCGGTGGAGTGAGCGCATAGCGACGGCGCGCCGACCTTCGCCGTCGGCAGCACGAGGCTGGCCTTGCCCATTGCCGCCCTAAGCAGAAACTTCGCCATCAACTCCAAGCTCTCGAGCGGCGCGCTACCACGTGGCCACCGTTGTCCAGGCGCGCGGTCTTGCAAGGCATCCGAGCCACTGCAGGCGGTGGCGACGCGGCGACGGACAGACTGCGCATGCGCGCCCGTCTCGTCGAGCACTGGGAGCCATTCGCGCGGCTCAGCGCGCTGCCGATCGCGCGGCTCAGCGCGCTCGGCCGCCGGACTACAGCGCGGTTGACCCTCCGACCCCTGGTCTTTCCCAATCGGTCGCGCGACGCCTTCGTCGCTGGGGGCCGGGGCTAGATGGCGCCCCGCGCTCGGCGCATCAGTCCTCTGAGCTGGGCTTGACATCCTCTCCGATGAGATGATGTGGGCCCTCCCTGGTAAGTCGTTATTCAAGTCCTCGAATGACACGTCGCAGGTCTAGCTGCCCGAGGGCGAGGAGGCCTCTGACTCTGTCGCGGCAGGCTGCACGCGCACTCCCTCCGCTGCCAGGGTGCCGGGCCTGCGCGACGCCGACCTGGAGATCGCC